TTTCTCAAGTTATAATCAGATCAGGATGGACCCGGCGGACCAGGAGAAGACTTCATTTGTGACTGAATAGGGAACTTACTACTACCAGGTCATGCCTTTTGGATTGAAGAATGTTGGAGCCACCTATCAGCGTCTAGTGAATAGAATGTTCCAGAAGCAAATTTGGACATCCATGGAGGTCTATATCGACGACATGTTGATAAAATCACTGAAGGCAGAGCTGCACATCGAGCACCTAGCAAAATCGTTCCAAATCCTTAAGGAGTACAAGATAAGACTCAACCCTGCAAAGTGCGCCTTTGGAGTATCAGCAGAGAAGTTCCTGAGATTCATAGTCAACAACAGAGGAATCGAGGCTAACCCAGAAAAGGTTAAGGCCGTATTGGATGTGCGACCACTATCCAACATCAGGGAGATCCAACGCCCTACAAGAAGGATAGTCGCGTTGAGTCGTTTTGTATCCAAAGCAAGTGACAAGTGTCAACCTTTCTTTCAAGTGTTGAAGAAGGCTTTTCAGTGGGATACCCGATGTGAGGAAGCGTTCAAAGCACTGAAGGAGTACCTAAGCTCTCCCCCTGTCCTGATAAGCCCCTTATAAGGGGAAGTGCTTACTCTTTATTTAGTTGTCTCGGATTTCTCAACCAGCGCAGCAATAGTTAGGGAGCGAGACAAAGCTCAACAATCTGTATACTACTGTAGTAGAACTCTGAGGGGGGCAGAGGAGAGATATCAAAAGATGGAGAAGTTAGTTTTGGCCCTGGTGACTACGACTAGGAGACTTAGACTATATTTCCAGGCTCATACTATCGAGGTTCCAACAGATCAGCCAATGAAGCAAGTGCTGCATAAACTAGAGTCTTCAGGAAGGCAAGTTAAGTGGGCGATAGAGCTCAGCGAGTTTGATGTTAGGTATAAGCCAAGGACTGTGATCAAAGGGCAAATTTTGACAGATTTCATCGCAGAATTCACTGTAGTAACACCCGCGGAAGCCACATTGCTGATACCTAACCTTCCCATATGGAAACTTTCGGTAGACGGAGCTGCCAATGCCCAAGGAAGCAGTACAGGATTGATCCTGACCTCTCTAGATGGAATAGACGTGAAATACGCCATCAGGTTTGGGTTTAAGGCTTCGAACAACGAGGCAGAGTATGAAGTTGTCATTGTTGGGCTCAACCTTACTCATTCAATGGAAGCAGAGCAGTTGGAGATTAGTAGCGATTCCTAACTTGTCGTGAAATAAATAGAGGAGTTATACGAGGCCAAGGGTGTGAAAATGGTTTTCTACCTCAGGAAGGTACAAGAATTAATCAAGAAGTTTGTACAAATTAAGTTCAACCATGTTCTTAGAGCCAAAAATTCAAGAGGAGACGCCTTGGCAAGGTTGGCAACAGCTTCGCAGAAGAATTTGGATAGGTTAATTTCAGTGGAGCATTTAGCAGAACCATCTGTATGCATGGAAGATGAAGAAGTTCTGCCTGTGGAAACACCACAGAGCTGGATGGACCCCGTCAGAGGATATCTTCAAACTGGGACTTTGTCGGAAGATCCCAAAGAAGCTGTGAAACTAAGAGTCAGGTCAGTTAGATTTTATATCTTGCAGGGAAACCTATACAAATGAGGATTTTCGACACCTCTACTCAAATGTGTGGGAGATGAAGATGCTAACTACATATTCAGAGAGGTCCATAAAGGAGTCTGCGACAATTACATCGGAGCTCGGGCCCTCGCAGGAAACGCATTGAGGCAGGGGTACTACTGGCCCACTATGCTCAAAGATGCTGCAGATCTGGTCAAAAGATGTAAAACTTGCCAAGTATACGCCAACATTCTCCACTGCCCAGCAGAGCTCCTAACATCGGTGGTGAGCCCCTGGTCTTTTCAACAGTGGGGTTTAGATATACCTTTTTACTTCATATCTATCAAATTTTCTATAAATGCCTAACTATAAGATAGTTCAATCTCCATCAGTCTTCCCGAAGTTAAACTCTTTGTGACATCTTACTACCACTCGTCTTCAAGAATCAAAAGCAAATCTAAAAAGTTATCTTCTTAGAGTATAAACCCGACCTTACGAAAACTTTCACTCAAATCTGCAAATGAAGAGAATTAGCCGAACTCTTCAACCATGTTAAACATCACATCTTTAAGTTATACCGACAAGTCTCCATGAATAACACTAATTTGGATACCTCTAGGCTTGATTATCAAATAGGATTTTTCTTTTCACACCTATCTTGATAGTAAATGTTATCCAAAAGAAAATTCTATTTTTCACCTTACTATCATTCTTCGTCAAGAATCAAGAACAACTCCGCAAAGTTATCTCTTATGCATTCCAAACTCACCACAAAAGAACTCGCTCATTTGTAATGAGTCAGAATCAATCAAACTCATTAACCAAAAAAAAAAGAATTACTCTAATGGTCAAAGAACCACCGTTAATCCCATACTTAGTCAATTACCCAAAGTTCTAACGATTGGACTTCAACAATTGACTAAAACTATCCCCTTAATCTCATATCAATAGGTCAATTTTCAAATGCAAGGGATGACGATACAAATTTTTTGATTAATTTTACTAATTTAATACACATTTACTCAATAACATCTGAATGACTTGTTTGATCCATTCCTAAATTTATGTCTAACACCACATCCTTCATGATAACACTCTAGATATTGAAAATGTTTACTAATCATATCATCCTAAGTGATGTTGAACCGCCACAAATAAGTAAAGAGGGTTATACGATATATGCTACGGAGGTCACAACACTATTAGTCCACAATCAATTCCCTAAGTCTGCTATTCACACTCCAATTATTTACCTAAAAAATATTATTTTGAAAATATGAGCTAAAAAGTCCAATGAATGGAAAGACACGCATATTCAAAGTGGCTGAAAAACATATTTGTCATATGACATGTAAATCAAATATTTGAAAAAATAACTTCATCAAGATAACCAATTTTTCAAGAATAACACAATTGGATTCCAACAAGAAATCATACCACAATGGTAAATCATATCATAATGGTAGAGACTGTACGATATCCAATAATTGATGGGAACCAAATATTAAATACAATAACTGATAACAAGAAAATACGTAAGACATACGATGGATAATCATAAACAAAGCCAATAAAAACATTGTGATAATAACAAATTATATCATCATCTCATATTGGTAAGGACTTGTACGATATCTGGAAACCATACCAAATGCCAAAAGATCGCAAAGTTGGATCCAACACCGTACTTAGGGTCACCACGGGTTACCGCCCGGGAACTGTTCCCTAAGACGATCCAGTGAAGGTCACCAGGATGCACCAGGAACTGTTCCTTCAACTGTTGAGCACTAGGATCACCTCAGCCTCTCCGGGTCTTTTTCCTAGTGGTCAGAGTCACCCGCACACAGAGGAATAATTTTCCTGGACTTTCAATCATGGGCCCATTCACTATCACAAAGTCTCACCATATAAACAAGTGATTGAGTCACAATACTTCACAAAAGAATTCATCAAAGCAAGGAAAATCGTATGCTACAAGTATTTAGACACTTAATAAAACATTTTGTAAAGATAGTGATGAACAAGCATTATGTATCATTTTTAAAATATTTAGGGATACAGAAAAAATACATAGTATGCCAAACCACTCACCTCAAATCCAAAGGAAATATTTTGTCACCCAATATTGATTGAGAAATTTTCGACCCCTTACATTGTTCTTCCACGGTTTCGTTTCTTCTTATATGAAGTATTCAACCTTCCTTCTCTCTCTCTCTCTCTCTAATGGGAGGTCACCAATGTGTTTTCCTCCTAATTCAATAACCAAGTCCTTTATTTATAAGCCTTCAAGACTCTTAGGACTATTCTAGAATGTGGATGTGTCATTATTTCCTTGGTGTGGGGAACCTTTCTAGATTCTCCTTTCACTTTCCTACTTGGAACTTTCTAAGTTTCAATTGTAGATATTTATACAATGATTAATCCTCCATATCTCTAGAAGTCTCCATACTAATCTAGGACATTGTAGAGTACTCTTTATCTCTCTAAAATCTTCTAAAACCTTCCGGACTCTTCCGGAGTGCTCTAGGTTCCTTGATGTTCTAGAACCTTCTAGATCTTTCTAGAAACTTCTTCAACATTCTAGATTCTTTTTTTTATAATTTTTTTCTTATTTCTTCTAAAATAATATTCCCTAACTAGTTCTTTGCCAAAATGGAATGGAGTGTTACAGTTAGCCTCACTAGGAGCAACACCTAGTAGACATTCTGACATCATTGTCTCCCTGAAGGTTAGGAACATACTAATATTGAGATAAAGATACGTTTTTTTTCAAATGTAGCAACTTCAATCCTAAGAAAGTATATAACTTGAACAAAGTCTTCCTTTTCAAACTCCGCGGCGACATGAGCTTTTTGTATGATATCATTCCACAACGTACCACAACTATATTGTCAACATATACATTAAGACCTACAATTTTATCATTGATGTATTTGATGAACATGGTGTGATCTATGGGATTTTGGATATACCCAATTTCAATCATTGCCATGTTGAACCTACCAAACGATGCCCTAGGTAATTGCTTCAATGAATAAAGTGACTTTGCAGCTGCAAACCATCCCACCAATCTTTGGGGACGAAAAAATAGGAATTCCATAAACACCATCTTCTCTAAGTCCATGAAGAAATGCATTCTTTGCATACAATTAGATTAGGCTCCACTCTGTCGTGGTTGCACAAGATATGACCATACGAGCAATGTTCATCGTAGCTAATGGTGTAAACATCTCATGATAGTCTATGCTATGGGTTGGAAGGAAACTAAGAATATTGAGTACATAGGAGTAATCATTAACCATCAAACTAAGAATATTGAACACTGGTAATTAATCTAAAGTTTTTTTGTAGCAGCCAAAAATGGATAAGAATTAAATATAATGAAAGATACAAAAATTGTGCTCTTCAGATCCAAGACAGATCAGTTCAAATAATGTAAGATCCAAGTTACATAATAGCAAACATATACAGAAAGAAGCCATAACAGCATCTGACTGACAGGCTTCTTTGAATGTCGTAATTCATTAACAAATTTTGGCACAAAACTGCTGTAATTTGTGAAGTACAGAACTGAATCTGACTTTACACTGGCAAGTGCTATTACTAAAGAAATAGGAAGCAAAAAAAACCTGTATTCAACTATGGCCCGTTGTAAAATCTTCTCACCATCCTTGACAGATTTAACATAATCCACCTGAACATAAGTATGCATGACAACTTAATAAAAGTATGAGTTACATCGAGGAGAAAAGCAAGCAAAAAGAAGTAATCCTAGGAAGATGATAAGCTCACCTCACAACTGATAGCATTTCTAGGCATGGGAGGTTTAATAGACAATGCCTGGCAAGCTTCACGGAATTGTTTTTCAAGAATAGGTGGTGATAGTTCCTTATTCTGGAAAGGATTAACAACTACAACCAATATTGTCCTAGATGTGGGAAAATATCCAACATATATAGCTCGTCCCTCGAAGATACTGAAAAGAAAGAACTACAAAATTACCAAATGAATACAGAGAAAAGTTGCATGACATACGAAAAAACGCACATGCTTCCCAGCAACTGCAGGAATTGTTGTTGGGAAAATGGAGTCAACATATAACCCAGAAATCATTGCAATGATACACGGCAAGTTGCCAAAGATTAAATAACCCACCAAATTTTGTGCAAATAAAAACTTTAACCCAAATATTTTGAAACACAAATAACTCGTGAAACTCAATTACAAAATCTCTTTTGGAAAGGGGGAGGGTGTTAGTATGGGACTGCTTAAGTCATAAATCATAATGCTGCCTGACTGAAAACAGTCCTGTGTAATGTGACTAACAGGAATAGGGTGAATAACTGACTAAAGAATGTCTACTGTTAGTTGGTATCATATGACAACTTTTCTCATACGATAGCTTGGTACCTGCAGCAATGGCTGTAAGGTTGGATGGTAATAATTGTCCATGTCATTCAGATCATAATGAACCTAGCTCGAGCTGGGCTATCAAGGTATATTTGCATAACGCCATATCATTCTTTTCTATCATATTTGTCATTTTTCATTAGGGGTTGGATTGAAGGAAATTCTTGGCAAAATCTAGATGGAATGAAGCAATAGTAACGCGGTCAATAAGATACTCAAGGAAAAACAAATTCCATGTGGGAAAAACTATGGAATTTGGCACATATTGATTATGTGGATGCTACTGAGAACTTGCATAAACATGAATCTTAATTTTAGTTGAGTTAGTTTGCGCGAATTAAAATTATAAGTGTCTTTTATATAATTTTAGAGTTGGATGTTTTTCTAAGTTGTAGATTTTCTGCAACGGATTATAGTATGATCCATTGTTGTCTTTTGGGTCAAATTTTAGAATTGGTTGTTTCTAGATCTAGCGTCATAGTTCAAATACTTAGCACTTTATATATAGGCATATAGCACTACGTGATGTTATCAATAGAGAGAGAGAGAGAGTATTTTCAGACTTCCAGTAAGTAAATGCTTTGAGGATTGTGTAATGCAATTCAAAAACCCTAGGCTTATTGCCTAAACCCTAAGGAATCGTAGGGGTGATTCCTAGTTTTCTTCTTTTTCTTCCTTAATTTCAGCATACAAGTATTTCAAAACAAATCTATTTGAGGTATCTTTTGATCCCCGATACTCTAATCAGCAAATCGAACCTTTTCCTTCAACAAACTGGACATCGAATACTTATTGAAAACCCTGGTAAAATTTTACTGTTCATGGGTAGTTCGCAGTACCTGAATAGTGCCAATTTTGGTTATTCACTGCTGTCCTACGTCATATAGTTTAGGGGCTTAGAAAACCTACAAAAATGAACCCTGCTAGTTTGTGTCCTGAACAAGAGTAGAAATTATTCGGTGAGAGACTATGAAGTGGTGTAGGGCAAGACAATTACCAACAGTTTTAACCTCACCTATAGGATTGACTATCAACTATTTTTCTGTGCCACTCCATAATATGAATTCTGTTGGAGTTAAATTTCACTTGCAGCAATCTTTTGAGGAATGCTTTGATTTGCGAAAATCAAACAATAAACTCTTCATTTATGTTAGTCTTCTTATAACATCCAAACCAATACCAATTCACAATAAATACAGAGACCCATAAGAATCACATAATATTTGGGATGTGCTATTATATCCCTAGGAAGATCTAAAAGGCTCATAAGAATCAAGTTTTTCTCCCTCGGAAGTGCGACTCCTGCTCACACGTGGACAGGTAAAGAAAAGATCCAGAAGACTGGATCAAAAACATAACAAGATGCTAAGGCACAAATAAAGGGAGAATCGATTACAAAAGTGATGAAATTGAAATATATATACTTATACAAAACCTTGTGAAGGCCAGTTCTAATACCAAGTTAGACCATCCAGCTCAAAATCAATTGTCAATTAACAGAGAGGCCCTCAAGGCTCGTATACTAGTTTGGAAGTGTTATCGAAGTGGAACAAGCTCTAAGATGTCCAACACTCACGTCCTTCCAGACAGAAGCTAATGTAAGTCAGCTATGAAGGGCGGCATATGGTCTGAAGAAATCTCCTTGGCAGGCAGGTTTGTGGGTGTTCAATTGTTGGCAGATATAATAGAAACACGATAAATTCTGTAATTTTTTTGATAAGAAATGCCAATTTTATTAACAAAAAAATAAAAAGAAGTGTTACAAAACCAATTAAAGGTGGACAAAAGTCGTCCATCCAAACATAGACAACAAAAAAATCATAAAAAAAGAACTATTACATTGAAGACCAACATAGTTGTTAGTATCGTATGATACGCGATACGTATCGTACGATACGTCATAATACAGAGGTGAAACGTTACGAATTAGAGTTTTGTAGAGTTTTTGCATAGTATCGTCCGATACGAGCAATACGCGAAGTCTCTGTTTTTTTTTTTTTTAATTAAGACGTACGATAAATCAGCAAAAACAGAGATGATGAGAAGAATTACCAGTCTACCAAACCCACAAATCAGCAAAAATACCCAAACAAAAGCAAAGCAAATAAATTTTTGAAATTATAAAAAATAGCAACACTGACCAGTAAATTTCGGATGAAATCCTATGTTAGTTTTTCTTCAAATGTTAGAAAATACTTCTTCTTCTTCCTCACAAAGGTCCATTGCAAGAAACCCTAGAAAATTGAAAACCCAATCGAAGAAATAGATCATCCAAGACCATTGAAGTAGAGAGACACTCTGTCTCACGATCTCTCTCTCTCTCTCTCTCGATCACTCTCACGATCTCTCTCTCTGTCTTTCGATCACTCTCGCGATCTTTCCGTCTCTCTAGTCTTTTTTTTTTTTATCTGATCAGGCACACTCTTCTCTTGGTCACTGTGTTTTAAAATAGGAAGAATTACACTTAGACCCCTTAAGGTTTATTATTTAATCACTTAGACCCCCTAAAATATTACACACAGGCCCCCTAAAATTTATACAAACGTAACACTTAGATCCCTGCTGTAAATATATCCGTTAATAAATTATATCTAGACACCCTAAAATTTATAAGCATATATTTTATTATTAATTATTTAAAATTGCACCGTATCTTATGATACACAATACGATACAATACACTATTTTTAAAAAACGATACACCTTCTGATACACAATTTGACAACTATGAAGACCAACAGTGCCATATCCTTGTTGCAGTCCAGCTTGCCATAATACTAAAACGCAGAGAATTCTCAAAGTCCTTGATCACAGATGCCCAAAAAGAAGCCAAGAAAAGAAGTCAAACCCATAAGCAATCAACATCCTCCCCTTTATCTTCAAAATTTCTTCCCTTCTATAAAACCCAAATGATAGTAAAAAAAAAACAAATGCTAAAAAATCTTCCCAATTCTATTCCCTCTCCACCCCCTAAAATCCAAGCAAACCATAATAACATTGATCTCAGAGCCACTGAAGGAAGGACAACAAAGTCAAAGAGTTTGTGCCATAAAGATAGGATCAATGGCTAATGCAAGAATAAATGATCCATACTCTCATAAACTACTCTACACAAAACGCACCATAGCAGTAAAAGGCAAGTCATAAGTCCCTTTTTTTGAAGCACATCATTGGTATTGATCTTACCATAAGGAAATAATCATACACAAATTTGCACCTTTAAAGGAACTTTAGCCTTTCAAATCTTCAATAATAGAAGAAATGATATAATTGAATAATCATCGATTAAAGATTCAAAAGTAATATCTACAAGAAAAGAAATCTGAAGGATCACTGATCCACATTCTTATATCCAAAGAGTATTGGAACAAGGAATCACCATTGAGCAAAAAAAAAAAAAGCAACAATAACTCTGAATATTCTTTATTATTTAAGATTCCCACGAAATCCAAAATTCCAATAAACCTGAAAAGAATACTATGTTCTAAAGATGCAATGCACATACCGTAATAATAAGAAACACAATAAAGAAGAGGGAAAAGACTAGAAAATGAATATTCCCCTCCAAATATTCTCCCAAAAATGTACTTTCGGGCCCTCTCCCACCATAAACTTAATCCTTTGCAAGAAGCTAAGTAACTCCCAAGAAATTACCCGTAAGCATCCCAGTCATTAGTATGTCATCCATATTTGCTCCTCATAACCGCATGCCATAAAGAATCTTAATCCAAAAGTATCCTCCAAAGTCATTTCCCAACTNATAGGAAGAATTACACTTAGACCCCTTAAGGTTTATTATTTAATCACTTAGACCCCCTAAAATATTACACACAGGCCCCCTAAAATTTATACAAACGTAACACTTAGATCCCTGCTGTAAATATATCCGTTAATAAATTATATCTAGACACCCTAAAATTTATAAGCATATATTTTATTATTAATTATTTAAAATTGCACCGTATCTTATGATACACAATACGATACAATACACTATTTTTAAAAAACGATACACCTTCTGATACACAATTTGACAACTATGAAGACCAACAGTGCCATATCCTTGTTGCAGTCCAGCTTGCCATAATACTAAAACGCAGAGAATTCTCAAAGTCCTTGATCACAGATGCCCAAAAAGAAGCCAAGAAAAGAAGTCAAACCCATAAGCAATCAACATCCTCCCCTTTATCTTCAAAATTTCTTCCCTTCTATAAAACCCAAATGATAGTAAAAAAAAAACAAATGCTAAAAAATCTTCCCAATTCTATTCCCTCTCCACCCCCTAAAATCCAAGCAAACCATAATAACATTGATCTCAGAGCCACTGAAGGAAGGACAACAAAGTCAAAGAGTTTGTGCCATAAAGATAGGATCAATGGCTAATGCAAGAATAAATGATCCATACTCTCATAAACTACTCTACACAAAACGCACCATAGCAGTAAAAGGCAAGTCATAAGTCCCTTTTTTTGAAGCACATCATTGGTATTGATCTTACCATAAGGAAATAATCATACACAAATTTGCACCTTTAAAGGAACTTTAGCCTTTCAAATCTTCAATAATAGAAGAAATGATATAATTGAATAATCATCGATTAAAGATTCAAAAGTAATATCTACAAGAAAAGAAATCTGAAGGATCACTGATCCACATTCTTATATCCAAAGAGTATTGGAACAAGGAATCACCATTGAGCAAAA